GGAGAGTTCTTATTCTTTTAGATTTATCGGCTGCTTTTGATACCATAGACCACTCCTCACTATTATCTAGATTAGAGTCTTGGGTAGGTCTAAAAGCAAACGTTCTGAAATGGTTTCAGTCATACCTGTCTGACAGAAAGTTTTTAGTGAAGTTGGGTAATTTTTCCTCTTCCCCTGCTCCTCTGACCTGTGGCCTTCCACAAGGCTCTATTTTAGCTCCCTCTCTATTCTCTCTTTACATGTTACCTCTGGGCTCTATTCTACGAAAACATGGTGTGTCTTTTCATTTCTACGCAGATGACACTCAAATCTATCTACCAATCAAGAAAAACAATTCCACTGCGATTACTTCTCTTCTGAAATGTTTAGATGAGGTTAAATCAAGGCTAGTCCAAAATTTCCTCTTCCTAAATGAAGACAAGACCAAGGTAATTGTTTTCGGTCCAAATGATAACTCTCAGTGTATAAGCCCTGAGTCAGAAAGTTTATCCGTTTTTAGATCCTCGCGGGTGCGGAACCTAGCTATTCTAGTCGACCAGCATTTAAAATGTAATAAACATATATCTTCTGTCATTGGGTCCAGTTTCAATCAGCTTCGTTTACTGTCTAAAATTAAAAACTTTCTCACTCCAAAAACTCTAGAAATGGCTGTTCATGCGTTCGTTACGTCTCGTCTAGATTACTGCAATTCTTTATATTGCGGTATATCTAAATCTCAAATTGCGCGTCTTCAGCTTGTCCAAAATGCTGCGGCCAGACTTCTTTTAAAGTGTCGTAAACATGAACACATCACTCCAATTCTTAGATCTCTACACTGGTTGCCGGTTTGTCAGAGAATAGACTTTAAAATTCTCCTCTTTGTATATAAATCCCTACATAACCAAGCTCCTGTCTATCTATCTGACCTTCTTTACTTCTATACTCCGTCTAGAAGCCTACGATCCTGTGACCAGGCCTTGTTGGTGGTCCCTCACGTTAGGCTTAAGCGTAGAGGGGAGCGTGCATTTGCGGTGGCAGGGCCACGACTCTGGAATACCCTACCTTTAGAGATTAGAATGGCCCCTTCTTTGTCTGTTTTTAAGTCCTTGCTAAAAACTTATTTGTTTTCCTTAGTGTATTGACTACTGTGATATGGTAATTTTTAAACGTGCGGTTTTAAATTTTTGTCTGGTTTGTTCTCTGTGTATGTGGTAAAATTGTTGCTCTTCTGAAAAGCACTTTGGTCAGCCTGGTGGCTGTTGTATATGTGCTCTACAAATAAAATGAACTTGAAAAATAAAATGAACTTGTTGCACCATTGGCCATGAAAAACATGGAAACTCACCTGTGACATGCATTTTGTCTTCTATCACCTCGATCTTCAAGTAAAGACGTCCTCGTCTCTCTGTGTGGTCCGTTCCACAAAGGCTTGGCACATTCATCACACACTGCTTATGGACATTCATATCACAGGCTGTGAACACACACACATTTGCATAAAGCAGGAGTTCCCTGATTTCAGATTGACTTAATGAAAATAATACCTTGCACATAATATTTTAACATAATAGTAACATAATATTACAATAGTTAATCAAATGATTACTCCATATACTGTACATTGACATAGAAAAGTCCCAAATAACCACTGACCCTAGAACCACCCTTCGGCAAAAAATTGTTTAGTATGGTACTTACAGTCACATTTCATCCCTTGGTGTATGAGTCCATACAGAAGAGATCCACAGTGGTCACAGAATGTGGGACTGCCATAGGTGTGGATCTTAAACTTGTGCTTGCTTCTAGGGTCCTACACAGATAAAACGATTCAAAAGAAAGAGAGAGAACAGGTGAGGAGATTGAGTCTGAGCAAACCTAAAAGGCAGGAACAGGAGACTGAAGCAAAGGATTAATTAAAGGATTCATGAGATTTTAAATTTCATAATGTTCAATATTCAATTAATCTGGGTCAAAATGGTATAGATTCCATGGTGATTAACTTCATCATGCTATGATGTGACACTATATAAGTTGTGAAGTCATGACACTGGCCTATATAATTGTGTGATTTGCACCCTGTCTACACCAAACATGAGTGAAGTGGTGTATTAAAAGTAAATATACCTGCAGTCACCAACAGTAACTAGATAAACCATTCTATTTTTGACATACTACACTGCTTCCGACAACATGACAAATGTATTTGGAACATCGGCTGGAATGTTGGAATGTGACACGTTCAGTGTTAAACAGACTCAAGTTGCAGAGGGGCATCACATCAGCAAATGCATCTGGTATAGTCTTGGGTGTAAGGGGGAAAATGCCAGGACTGAATTCTACTATTTAATCTTTTTGGAGACAAAAAACAAGACATTTCCCTTGAAACAGACTCATATTTTTCTATATAATTATAAACTCAAAGCAAACATTAGTCAAGCCAGACATCATCTGTAGTTATGTAATTAAAAACAAACACTGACATCCTGAACGAAAACATAGAGACTGGTTCCAAAGGACTAATATTACCTGATATTATCAAGAGCAACTTTTATGATGCTTTTTTGTTACTTTAATTTATTTATTTTTATGTATTTATTTATTTTGGATCTTGAGAGCCTTTCTGCTATTTAGAGCTGGATAGTAATTTATTACATGTAATCTGGATTACGTAATCAGATTCCAAAAATTGGTTACACTTTATTTTAAGATGTCCTTGTTACAGTGTAATTGTACATTTAAGCCCTGAGTAATTAACTACATGTACTAACTATATGGTTAGGGGTAGGATTAGGGGTTGGCTTAGGGTTACTTGCATGTAATTATGCATAATTTATTGTTTATTGTACATGTAATGTGTAACAATGACACCTTAAAATAAAGTGTTACACAAAAATTAAGTGATTGTAATTAGATTAAATTACATTTTAAAATACTCTGAATCAAATACTTACATGATTACATATAATTCATACAATAACAATAAATTATTTATAATTTATGGATTCTCCCCAAATTTTCTTTTTCATCTTTTACATTTTCTTTTCTAAAATAGCCTACCATTTACACACACAGAAAGTCTTCCGGTTTTGTGGGCATTCACACAAGACCTTTTTTTTTTGTAAGTGTTTTATTTTGAATTATGTTATTTTAAAATGATTTATTTAGATTTTACATTGTTATGATTTATATAATTATTTGTTTTTCATTAAACTCACGAACCCCCTGCAGTTCCTTCATAATCCCCAGTTTTGGAAATCTAGATGTAATGTTTGGTGCACTTCATGTTATCAGTAACAATGGAATATTTGGAATGCAATAATGGAATATTTTCTTTTTCTTTGCATTTTTATATAAATTTGGCACACAATCCTATTTAAATCCATATGATAAACGAGTTAGGTGAAAAGTAATCTAAAAGTAATCAAAAGGTGAAAAGTAATCTAAAAGTAATCAAAAAGTAACTTCATGTCATGTATGAGAGAATGAGAGATCCCCCTCATGATTGTAAAGCACTTTGGGTGTACAGCAATACACAATAAAGCTCTGATGCTAAACTTAAATGAAAATCATACAGGTTTAAGGAAGTGATGAGGTTGAGTAAAGGACAGAATTATTAGGTAACACTTTATTTTAAGGTGTCCTTGTTACACGTTACATGTAATTACTATTATAATAAAAATTAATTATGCATAATTACATGCAAGTAACCCTAAGCCAAACCCTAATCCTAACATATAGCAAATACATGTAGTTAATTAATATTACTCAGTATTTAAATGTATAATTACACTGTAACAAGGACACCTTAAAATAAAGTGTAACCAATTATTATTATTAATATTACTTTTTTTACTTAAAAAAAATGTAGTCTGCATATGTTTTTGTAATCTTCTATTGACTAAGGATTACTTTCTTTTTTTGCACTTTTGAGATACAATACAATAGATGAAAGCAATTAAATTGGGACTATGCAATAACTACCAAATCAGCTTGAAATTCATGTCATTTAGTCATTTGGACATAGTTAGACTACATAACCTTGGCTATAATAAGGATATTAGTGACTAAAAGCTGGGAATTAGGACAAAATAATGACACCATATGACATATTATATAATGGCACATAAAATATGATGCATTTTATGTCATATTATTTACCTTTGTGAAGTGTCTGGAAAAAGTACGAGTTCTGGCACATCAAAACTTGTGGCTCACTTTTAGTATTCGTCAAAAACAAAGGCATTTTGCTTTAATATGCCACTGCTCTGACTTTTTTTTCCAGATATTTTACAAAGGCAGAGAATTTATCATACAAAGGATAAATAAGTGAGTCTTAAATCCTCAGCAATGATCAATTTTAATATTGTTGCTTACACTGTTCCCAACACATTATGAAGATAAAAGGACAATCTAAGGTCTAATCCAATGGGGCCTCAGACATAATGTAAGATGAGTTTATTTCAGAGACCTGACCATAGCCAAACATTAAAGACACTCCCTCACTTCAGAAAAGCATTCATTATTAAAAATGCATGAATATTTCATGGATGGTTAAATATAATTAGCTATAATGGCTTACTACAACATTTAACACTTGCATCTATGTTGCTCCGGAAATAGCCATTAAAATCTTATAGTATGAAAGCCTCATGCCTTCTGAAATTATTGTGCTTTCTCCACATCATCTAAATTGCAGACAGGAGGACAAACTACAAAGTTCAAGTACTGTCATCAGTAATGGCCTAGATACAGGTTTCTCAAATGGGGGTTGATAAGTTAATGAAAAGCCAATAATAAATTATATTGAATGTAAAATAAAGAAATAGTAAAAAGGGGAGCATGTTAAGCATGATATAGTATGATTATCAAAACACAATGCTGCAAATTTAACAAGCATTTGGGAATGCAATGTGAACTAGGTTTACTTTATTTACACATTTGAAATATTTTATATTTAAGTGGTTTGGCTGACAAAAAAGTTTGGGAACCCCTGGCATAGATGACCTCTCATATGCCTTTGGTGTCCAAGAGGTGGCCATGGATTTTTTAAACACTTAGCACTCATAGTCCTGTCACCAGTACAGCAAGTAGCCAGTCGCATATGTTGTAGTAATGAATTAAATGAACAGTGGTGGTAGCCAACTAATAGAAGTAGGTTGGGGTAGCTCTTAGCTTGCTATGGATTCCAGCCTTCTCAGCTTCACTTGTTTTTAACAGTACTTGCAGTGCCTTTACATTCAGACCACTGTGTAGTTTTATGGTGTACAGTTGTAAGATCTGACAATTTAACCCCTCCATTTTATGTCAGATAATGCTGTTGTCACATTTGAAAACAATGGTGTAAAACATGATATACTGATGACGCCTGCTGTCATAATGGAGACGTGAGGGGGTATACACACACACAGAAGACTAATGACAGCCATGATTTGTTTTTGTAAAAATAGCTTAAATACTGTGTGGTTTTTCACAAAAACTGATCGAAGCAAAATACTTTTATACAATGTCTATAATGGAAAATACTTTTTTGTTTACATTCTTGGTGCTTTAAAGTGAGTCACAATGTACTGCAATGTTCTGCATTAACTGGTTCGGAGAAAGAAAAAAATTACAAGATCATACATAGCATCAAAATCTAATCCACCATAAACTGGGCATTACAGGACATGAAGCTAAAGAAGACTACATTGATTAATTATTTTTTTTTAAATACGTCATACTTCAGTTGATTATATACATAATCACCCGAAAACTGTGCATAAACCAAATGACTGAAAAGAACAGGAGTGGATAAAGACCAAAGTCGAAACCTGAATGTTCTTTATTTTGATTTCTGTTTGTAGTCTTTGTGGTCTTTTGTAGTCAGCATTTAAAAGTTAACTTTTTTTATTTTTGTTCTTATTTTTCCAGCTCTTCTCTTTTAATTCTTGTTTAACTCTTGTTTTAGTCTATTTAATATCATTTTTTGTAGTCTTTGTTGTGTGTTGTCTTATGTAGTACCATGGTCCTAGAGGAACGCCGTTTCATTTCGCTGTGCTGAAATGACAAAGCTACTCTGACTCTCTGACTCTGTTAATGAGTCTTGGCTGTGAGATAATGAGTCCTAACTAACTGACTACCAAGAAATATTTAAAGCTGCCAGACAGACATTTAGCCTTCCTAACAGGCATAGGAACGATGTGTGTTTAAAAGCGTTTAAAAGCGATTAGACGCAGGTAGACAGTAGGTAGCCACCCAGAATGACCATTACCACCTCATAAAGAAGACTTGTTCACAAAATATCTGCCAGGTGGTGCAAAGGGACACCTTTTTTTGCACCTCTTTTAGGTGTGCTGACAGTTGTGATGTAGGTAAAAATACAGTATTTACATTATAATTTATAAAAATAATAATGACCAATGCACTTAACAGGAGCAGTACATTTTTGCCATGTAATTATTCTTTGATATAGTAGAGCTTGAATACACCTCTTATATGATTAGCATGTTTTTTATGCTTGAATTAAAATGTATTTTACATTTTCAAAATGAAAATGGCAGGGTGAAACAATTGCCCAGATATCAGAATGAAGAGAAAAAAAAAACTCATTAAAAGAATAAAATTCTTGAAAGGGAATCCTAGTTATGTATTTTAGATAGTGGAGTAAAGAAAAAAAAACTGCTTCATTCATTCATCTACCAATTCTCAGAGCCACTTTTCTGGGTGAGGATGCTGGAGCCTATCCCTGTAGTCTTGGACTACAGCTGGGGAAAACATCCTGGACAGATGGCCAGTCTATCACAGGGCTAAAACTGCTTTACTGCTTATTAA